TAATCTTAGGGGGTGAGATGTTTCAGAGGAACCCTGTAAAGACATTTCTTTACACTGCAGTCAATAAAGACGTCCCTCGCATCTTTGGATTTGAAACTTGGAATGTGGCTAGGTTGAAATCAGAGGAAGGGTTGGGGGACAAGGGCAGAATAAATAAACTGGGACCCAAGATCCATACGATAATTTGGGGTCTAAAATTTGACCACCTCTTTGTTGGAAGGTTTATCACTGTGAAACTGAGCTTTTATGTACTCCCTGCTCGTTGTGGAGAACTGTCAAAATTCCTGAGCTCCCACTTGTTCTGGGCTTCCAAAGTGAGTAACGTGGCCATTAGATATCAAAACATTGGTTGGTCTATGGCAATCTGTATGGAGGGTCCTCAACGGACTAGGCCTAGAACCACCATAGGACCCAGCTATACCACTCCTCAGTATTTAGCCTAAAGAATTAAAGTTAGCATACTACCGTGATGTATGCATGTTTATAGCAGCACAATTCACAATAGCCAAAGTGTGGCCTAGGTGTCCATCAACAGATGAATGGAGAAGGAAAATGTGGTGTATATACACACAATGGAGTTTTATTCAGCCATAAAGAGAAATGAAATTATTTTCAAATTAGAGACCATCCTATTAAATTAAAAAGCTAAACTCAGAAGGTCAGGGGTCATATATTTTCTCTTATATGTGGAAGCTAGAGAGGGGGAAAAAAAAAGAAAGGTGGGCATAGGGGATCCCATGAAAATAAAGGGAGATCAGTAGAGGAGAGGGATCCTGGGGTGGAAGTCAGGGAGGGAGGGGGAAATGCTGGGGACTGATATTGGCCAAATTGCATTGTTACATTGAGTGCACGCATGAATACGTAACAACAAATCCCATCAACAACAAATCCAGGCACAACTAGAATGCCCCAATAAAAATGTGGCAAAGCAAAACAAACAAACAAAAACCCATTGGTTGGTACTTCCAAATGTGCACATCCGCTTGGAGTGAGGAGGGACTGGGCCTTCCCTCTGTCCAAGCGGATGGTCCACTGCCATTTCCTAGCTTTCTACAGATCCTGGAGCTTCACACATGATCTAACCAGGGTGACTCCCTAGAGGGAAGAGGCAGAGGTACAGGACCACTGTGTCCCATTTTCCAAGTGGAGAAACTGAGGCCTTAAGCAGGGGGAGGAGCTTGGTAAGGAGGAGAGAATGAGCTACTTTAGAGGTGAGAGCAAACTGATTTAGGGTGGCCAGTTAGTGTGTGTGT